AGGAAGGAAGGAAGGAAGGAAGGATGGATGGATGGATGGATGGATGGATGGATGGATGGATGGATGGATGGATGGATGGATGGATGGATGGATGGATAAAAGGACCCAATCAGTCAATAACAATAGTTTTTGTTTTTCCTCCCCTGCCCCCCTCCTCCGACAGATGCTGCTCCGGAGACCCAAGCGGCACATCCCTCATTTTCCCATCTGCACCTACTGTTGCAATTGCTGCAGGAACAAGGGTTGTGGCCTGTGTTGTCGGACATGAAGTGGGGGAAGACCTTGGCCAGTGACCTCAACACCCTTGGGTGGCATCTCCCGTCACAACACCACCCATACTCACACACACCAAGCTCCCCACACAAGCCGTCAACCTGGCTCCCTCCCCACCCTCAAAGCATTCTCCATATTTATTACTTCAGCACTATTTTTGTTTGATTTGTATATTCTTGTTTGTTACTGGGAATTAAATGTGTTTTCAATTTCAAAACTGTCTGGAGCGAATTATTATTCTGTAGGAGAAGGGATGTAAATTAGCCCCCGCCCCTTCTGTTAATCCTATTGAAAACAATTTAAACTCTCTTGAAACCTCCAAATTTGGTTTCATGTTGGGCATTAGTGGCTTGAGCTTCTTTATGGTGGGTAGAAATTCAACAGGTGCAGACTAGCTACAGAGATGGATGCAAGGCTGTGGGCACTGGGTTTTCTGCCTGTCATGTAGCTGTTCAAGGAACGGGAAATCAAATCTGGAAATCTACAGCATACTTGGGAGCAGTTCCCTACAGAGAGATCTCAGTGGGATTCTCCTCACCACTGCCATACCGCCCAATTAATCACAGTAATAAAAGCCACCGGGGACAGGCTGAAAGTACAAAAATAGAGACATATACTTTGAAAGTCTGACAGTAAAATCCACTGACACAATGGGCTCAGCACAGCAGGAAAGAGCACAGTCTTAGAAAAAAAAAGTAGTAGAAAGGGATTAAAACAGCCACTTCTTCACATCCTTCAGCAGGATGACCCTGCTACCCAACTTATTGCTAACTATACCCTTGACGTAGGAGGGCCAGAAGATGTAGGAGAAGATCAAAAACATTCCCCCCCCCCTCAAGGAAGAAGTAATGCCATAAATATTTGCCCATGTCTTGGAAGTCAGAAAATCTTGGGGGTTAATGCTAATACTGTTTCCTGGAGCAGGGAGTTCCAAGGATTTATATTATTAACAAGGCTCCCCAGGAAATGGAGGTAGTCCTTGCAAGTTGAGGAACCCTACGAAGTTGTGTCCTCTTGGCCCTCCTTACTGGATACCACTCCTCCCCAGTCCTCCTGTCCGATCACACTCCTTGCTCTAGCTAGTTTTACTTCTAGTTATACAAGCACTTGTTAAATAGGGAAAAAAAGAGATTTGGGCTGCTCCTTTGGCTTCCCTTCTTCTTGGGTCAGACATTGGAGTAGATCTGGTCGTTGCCAGAAGTGGCCTGCCAGCCGCTCCGGTTCCCATAATGGCCGGCAGATGCCCCGGCGGGTAAATTCTCATAATCTTCTGAAATCCCCATGGTCTCGTAGGTCTCAGTGCTGAGGTCCTAAAAAAAAGGGCAATGAGGAGAGAGAAGGAAATAAGAAGCAGTTGGGTAGGTCCTTCTCACCCGAGAACTGCTGGACAGTTCAGGCCTTGGGCTGCCGAGCCAGAGGTTGGGAGTTCGATCCCCCCACTGGGCCTCTTGGATAGGACCTGGATTTCATGATATCCATAGGGTCCCTTCCAGCTTGGCAGTGCTAAGATCATACGGCCAACCTTTCTGTTCTAGAGTTCCTTTGCTGTGTAGGAGAAGCCATAATCGACTTTTTAACTAAGTATTTCTCAACTGGGAGTACATTCTGAGGAGATGAAATCCTATATGCATTTCCCTTCAGTCCCACAGAACACCTTGAGGAGAATGTCATCCTGAGACAATATATAGGGTGATACATTAAAATAATTAAATCTATGAATGACTTTTACCAGGGTAAAGTCTAGGTGAATCTCCGTGCTTTGGGGACCTGCCACAGGCCACACTGCCTTTTAAAAAACTGGGTTGTCCACATCCCCCCCAAAATCAGTTGTGCATGGACATTCACTTCCAATTTTAAAGGCTAAAAAACCCGACCAAAAAACAGTAGAAAAACGCCTATTAGACTGAAGAAAAGTTATCAATCCTTATAGAGTGAATACACCATCATTCATGCAAAAGGGAAGGTCTCAGCTCAATGTTTATAGATGGACGAATGCAATGTTTGTTGTGGTGTTAGAAGAGAAACCTTAAAAGGAATGGAGACTTTTTTTAAAAAAAAATCTCCTTTTGTGCTCTGTGCATGCTCAATACAACAGCATATACCGGGGGAAAGAGAGAAAGAAAAGGAAAACCAGGGGTCTGGGTGAGGGAATGGAATGCTGGGATCTTGAAGGACCTACGCCAGAATGCAATCTTTTCTTATGCTTCCCATTTGTCTAAGCAGTCAATTAAACGCTGCCATGCTGTTTGAAAATCAGGGCTGTAACTAGGGTGGAGCAAATGTGGCTACCAACGTTTGGAGGGTGCCAAATTCTAGAGGTGGATTACTGGGAAAATGAATGGCAGCACCTCCCAGCCTTATTCACTCTCCCCCCACTTTTTTTTAAAGCATGAACTATGTTTTCATATTGGGGGGATGTTACAGTCTCCTCCTCCTCCTCTTTCAGGAGGGGCTCACTCCCACATTTCATGGCAGAGTGGGTGGGAGACAGCACATCTTGCCCCCGGTGGCACCATGGCTAGCGAGGGCTGTGCTGAAACCCAATCTTGAACTGCAGGCTGTAGTTACAGGTGACTCTTTCCTTTTGAACTGGTTGCCTACACCTGTCCTAGGGGAGCCAAGGGGCAGCATAACAAAGGACGAGCCTTACGTTATCAGTTGTTGGGCTCCCTCGTGCTTTGGACTTGCTGTACATATTATACTCTTCCTCTTTTTTTCCTTTGGATGGTTTTTCTGTTTTAAGAGATGCCTTCTGCTCCAAGTTTCCGTCTGTAACAAACAGTGTCGGATCTTCCTCCTCTTCCTCCTCCTCTTGCCCCTGTTCCTTTTTCCTGGCAGCAGAAAAAAAGAGGGAAGAGAGCATGATGCTGACATTGGTAAAAGAGGGCATAAAGAACAGATAGCCAAATACTCAAGAAAACACACACACACACACACACACCCCAAAAGCAGCATCTGTAGCAGCCACTCTGTGTACAGAAATGGGCAGCTAGCATGCTTCCAGGTATGGAAAGAAATGCAATTAACCTCTTGCGCCTGCAGAATACATGCTTCTGTTAAAGGCGCAGGAGCAAGGGCTGGAGAAAAAAGTTGGCAACCCAGCACAAGAAAGGAATTGATCTTTACAGAATGCAGGGAGAAAAATTAACAACGAGGGTTTTGGTAAATTAAAACCAGCATCTCTTTAGAGACGGGGCTGTTCTGGATGCGTTCAGTTGCCCTTCCGGCTTTTTCACCTGCTGGTCACCATTTTGTATGCCACAGTCCCCATCAGCGTCAGGAAGAGGAGGCCTCCGACAGCCCCTCCGCCTGCCATGAGCAAAAGCGTCATGTCTCCTGTGGGAAAACAAAACAGATCATAAAATGGGGTGATCCACATAAAGCTGTACATAGACTGGATAGGATATGTCTTTGCCAACACGGTGGGCAACAGCTGTGCCCATACACAGCTGGGCATTCCTCCCCCCCCACCCCAATGACTTACCGTATTTTTCCATGTATAAGACACTCCCATGTATAAGACGCCCCCACTTTTCTAATCCAAAATTAAGAAATCTTAAGTGGGGCTTAGCAAGTGTAAGGGGAAAGGGATCAAAGCGCTGCAGGATCGCTTTGATCCCTGCTTTCCCCTCCACTTGCGTTTGTTCTCTCCTCAGCTTACTTCCATGTATAAGACGACCCTCAATTTTTAGTCTCAAGATTTTAGACAAAAGTATAGTCTTATACACGGAAAAAATACGGTAATTACCGCTTGCATGCTCCAATAGTTCCCTCTGGCATGCTTTCCACCAAGCTTCCCCAAACATGGTGACATTTCGGCCTGCCTGTGCCGAGCACAAAGCTTTCGAGCCTTGGCTGCTCTCCTGCTTACCTGCCTGGATGGTGGGCAGCATGATTTGACTGGGGCCGTGCTGGTTGGCGGCTACGCAGGAGACGTTGGCCAGACTGGAGGAGGGGCCCCTCAGCACCCCGATGACCGCTTGCCCCCAAGAAGCTGAAGCCGCCTGCAGCTCGGAGCTGTTGAAGTCCCCAGGGAAGGTGTGGTTCGGGAGACGCCACTCGACGCTGGGTAAAGGGTTTCCCTCTGCTACACAATAACAGGTGATGGTCTCTCCGGTCCTTGAGATGGTACAGTTCCCTTCCGGGAGGATGACAGGTTTGTCTGCAAGGGGGGCAGACAGACTTTTCAAAACAAAATGGTGGGGGCACTCGTGTGGTGGTGTTTCTTTCCTCAATCAAAAACCACCCAGCACCCACCAGATGCACTGGACTAGAACTCCTATTATCCCCCAGGCAGCATGGCCACTGACCTCTCTGGCTGGGGATCATGGAAGATATGATCCAGCATGTCTGAAGAGTGCTGGGGTGAAGACAATTACCATATTTTCCATGTATAAGATGCTCCCATGTATAAGATGCCCCCCACTTTTCTAACCCAAAATTAAGAAATCTAAGTGGTACTTAGCAAGTGGAGGGGAAAACAGGGATCAAAGCCCTGCAGGTTCACTTTGATCCCTGCTTTCCCCTCCACTTGTTTTTCCTCTCCTCAGCTTACTTCCGTGTATAAGACGACCCTCAATTTTTATTCTAATGATTTTAGACAAAGGTATAGTCTTATACACAGAAAAATATGGTAATTCCAACTCTCTCTCTCTCTCTCTGATCTCCCGAATCCATCTCTTCTCTCTAGGTTTATTGTCCCTCAGCAGTCTGGTGGCTGGCTGTTTCATTTTAAGTGGGAACTTTTTACAGCCCAGAATTCAGCTTTCCTCTGGTGAATATCTGTGACTGCTAAAGGAGCCAACCCCTGGAAAAATATGACACCCCTCTTGGTGATCTTGAATTAAGTGCCACTAGTACTTTTAAGATGAAATGTTGGATTGGGCCCCTGGGAGAAATTCAGCAGAGATTCTTATTTTCTGCCACAGAAAGGCAGAAGCATAGGTTTGACCTGCTTAGTCACAACACTGTAAAAAGCATAGGAGCCCTGAACAAATAAAAAGTTGGCAGCTGTCATGGTAGGCTTGCACTTAGTTTGGGCTCATCAGCTTTCCCAAGGCACAAAAGCCGAGCGGAGCATAAATGGAGCCACAGTGACACCAAGCCAAATTTTTAAAACAATCCTCTTACACTCCACGTTAAGGTAGGTGGGTGGCGAATCTTCTCCCATCCCAACGTCATTCTCCGCAACGCAGTGGAACGGCCCCGAGTCCCTCCGGATGTTTGTCAGCCTCACTTCTGGTCCAGTGCCGGCTGCCCGCAGTGGAGCCTTGCGGGGTCCAAAGAACCAGCGATAGCTGATAGGCGGAGGGTTACTTTGGCTGCTGCAACGCAGGGTGACGCTGTCCCCTTCTTTTAGGACTGGGTTTCCCACTACAGAGATGGCCGCGTTTTTTGGAGAATCTGGAAGAGACCATCAGAGACAGGGGCAGTGTTGTATAGTGCTTAGAGTACAAGACTGAGCCTTAGAAATCTCGGTTCTGCTGCAAAGTTTTGACTTTTTGGTTAAATCCCTTTAACTGTGCAGCCGAAGTCTAGGGATTCACGAAACAGAACAGCTTTAAGTTCTCCAGAGTAGCCCACTCCTTTTCTCATTAACTGGCACAGTTTTATTCTTCTGTCTCAGAGTGAGTTTTTGAAACTGAAAGTGGCAAGAAAAAGGGATGGACTACTTTGGAGGAACTTGATCACGAAACAGAACAGTTTAAAGTTCTCCAGAGTAGCCCATCCCTTTTCTCATTAACTGGCACTTACAGTTTTATTCTTCCTCTTACTAATGTCTCAGAGTGAGTTATTGAAACTGTAAGTGGCAAGAAAAAGGGATGGACTACTTTGGAGGAACTTGAAGCTATTTCTGCTCTGTGAATCCCTGCAACTCCTGTGCAGCTAAAAGGAACTTAACCAAAAATTCAAAACTCTTCTCCTGTGCAGCTAAAAGGAACTTAACAAAAAATTCAAAACTCTGCCACATAAAGTGAAGAGGAAAAAAAATCCACTTTGATCTCACTGGATATAAATACAATTTAGGAAATAATAAATGTCAGGCTTTCTTCTCCCTGACCCTAATCCCGATCATCCCCTCCTGAAAAAAGGGATCTAACTTAACCAAAAATTCAAAACTCTGCCACATAAAGAGGGAAAAAAATCCACCTTGATGTCACTGGATATAAATACAACTTAGGAAAAATGTCAGTCTTTCTTTTCCCTGACCCTAATCTCTATCCCATTCCTCACCGATCATCCCCTCCTGAAAAAAGGGATCTTTTGAAGTCTTAGAAACAGCATAATCTCTAGAATTCTCCCCTGTCTACACCTTTGAATTTGCAAGTCAGGGTGGCTTGCAGGGTGGACAACTTCAGAGGTTTTGGGACTTCAGGCCTGACCAGCCTCATGGGCATCGTAGTCCGACAAAATCTATGGAACCTCAGGCTGCCTCTCCCTAATGTACAGTTTGATCAAATGGAAGTAAGGTTCAGTTTTGTTTAAAAAGAAGCCAAAGAGAGGTCGGCAAAGAACGAGCCCTCACGGTTCCAGGAGAAAAGCATCTTTAAAAAGTTTAAATCATTGCCAACTCACGAAGGGAGAAGAGCTTTAACTCTAAGTTTTGAAAAGACAGCGGCTTGTTCTGATGTTCCCACCCTATCCAGGATCCTGGGTAGGAGCAAAGTTCAGAAAATTTACAGTTTGGACTGCAATCTCCAGCATCCTCCCAGGCTAACTGCCAGTTCCTGAGAGCGGTGGTTCGGACAGGTAGGACACTCACATTTCACTTGCAAGTAGATCCCATTGCGAGACTGCTGCTGGTTCGGGAAAGTGGCCGTGCACTGCAGGTATTTGCCGTGATCCTTATGGGAAGGGGTGTAGTTAAACCCGGATTCTGTCCGCCAGGCTCCCCCCGCGAGGCGCTCCTGGATGGTGACCGGCTTGGCTCCCACAAGGTTCCAGGTGAGGCGAGGCGGCGCCAAGGGGCAGGTGTGCAGGGTTGAACAAGTAACCAGGGTACGATCGCCTTCTGTCATCAAACCCGGGTCGCTCAGTTCCAGTTGGCTTGGGGAATCTGCCACAGAACGGGAAAAGAAAGGGTGAGTCATCACAGACGGATGGAGAGCTTAAGAGTCAAAAAGCCACCCGGCTGAACTTCTGCCTGCAGTGTAGCCCTCGCAAACGGCAGGGGTGATGTGGCAGTGATATTTTTTTGGGCAGTTCAAGGCTCCTCTTCCCCCACCCTGATGTTCCCAAAGGCTTCCTGAAGCCCAAAGGGGTGGGTGGGGAAAGGATGGTTTCAATTAATTTAAATTAAACATTGCGAGATGGTTGGACAGTGTCATCGAAGCAGAGTTGGACACGACTTAAGGACTAAACAACAAAATTTGCCAGCACCAGTTGATAACATCACCAGCTTCTGCTGGTTTAAATTTATGCCAACTGGATTTTGGCCATTAATTCCTAATTATTAAAAAGTTGTTTCTTTGGTTAATATTTTTGTGATTACTATTGATATGGCATATCTGCCATGGATGGTGTCTCGTCCCCCTGCTAGCTTTTTCTTCTTCTTCTTGGAATAAGCATATCCATGGGGGGTAAAGAGCGGTTGGTCATTTATTAAGCATATCTGCCATGGATGGTGCCTCGTCCCCCTGCTAGCTTTTTTCTTCTTCTTGGAATAAGAATATCCGTGGGGGGTAAAGAGCGGTTGGTCATTTATTTGAGTTTCCCTTTGTTTCTTTAAGGGATGTGGTGGTGCTGCAGGTTAAACCTCAGAAGCGTCTGTGCTGCAGAGTCTGAAGACCAGCAGTCGTAAGATCGAATCCACGCTTGTCGCTTGTCCCACCTCCTGCCAACCTAGCCATCCGAAAGCATTTAAAAATGCTAGTAGATAAATAGGTACCACCTCAGTGGAAAGGTAATGGCGTTCTGAGTCTAGTTGCGCTGGCCACGTGACCACGGAAACTGTCTTCAGACAAACGCTGGCTCTATGGCTTGGAAATGGGGATGAGCACTGTCCCCTAGAGTTGGACACAACTGGACTATACATCAAGGGGAACCTTTACCTTTATCTTATCTTGTTTCTTTATTTAGTGGAAGGCAATAACTTACACATGGCAGCTGTTGCAGGGTGGTGTGGTGGACAGGGTGACAAACTAGGATTCAGGAGGCCTGGGTTCAAATCCTTGCTCAGCCACTGAAACTCACTGGAGAGATGGTGGTGGTAGGAATTGTGAAGCACTCAAACATCTCACATACCCATACCTCAAAGTCCTATTTGGGTTGCCACAAGTTGGAAGCCACGTGAAGGCCCATAACTACACCACCAACCACCACTTACGAATGAGGACCCCCTTCTTACCTACGACTTCCACCTGGACCGTGATGTCATAGAACCGGTGTCTGACGGAATCAGGGTTGATCCAGACATAGTAGCTCATGGAATCGTCTCTGCGCACTGGATTGATGCTGAGGGTGCAGTTCCCCATCTCCAAGTCTCCAAGCACCTCCGTCCGTCCCTGGTACTCAGGCAAGATCGTGTCCGGGCTTTTGCTGTTGTAGATCTCTGGGTAGCCTCTGGAGCGGTACTGGTACCAAGCGACACTGAATTTTCCACCCCAGGAATCCCGGGATCCTGGGTAGGTGAAGGAGCATGGAATGACCACACAAGAGCCCTGGAGGGCTTGGATTGTGCTGGGCAGGGTGGAACTCCACGCTTGAGAGATGGGGCTGTAATGAAGAACTGGAGAAAATGAAAAGATGGAACCAGAAGAGGAGAGAGTCAAAGGAGAGACACTTCAACCTGAATTAAGATCCTAGTATAGACAGCAGGTTGGTAAATCCAGCCATAAAGATCTAACCTTCACCTGTAAGGATGCTTCTATTGGGTGTGAGATTGGTTTCCCTCATTCCTTTATTTTTTGCACTGCACATCCACTTCTCTCAACTATTTGAGGGATGTGCCTCAAAAATATGGGGAACGGGCCCTCAAAAGAATGAGGACAAGGTACAACCAAGGAAACACGTCCCACTACCTTTGTACTGTTAAGAGTAAGATGTTACAGAGATGCGGAAAATTAATTCCTCCCTCCCTCCCTTCTTTTAAAAGGACACAAGGCAACTTCAAGAATTAAAATATAGTATTTTAGTTAGTAACAATGAGTTATGGAGGCAGTGACAGATTTTACTTTCTTGGGTTCCATGATCACTGCAGATGGGGACAGCAGCCACGAAATTAAAAGACGCCTGCTTCTTGGGAGGAAAGCGAAGACAAACCTCGATAGCATCTTAAAAAGCAGAGACATCACCTTGCTGACAAAGGTCCGCATAGTCAAAGTTATTCCTGTAGGGATGTATGGAAGTGAGATCTGAACCATAAAGAAAGCTGACCGCTGAAGAATTGGTACTTTTGAATTCTGATGCTGGAGGAGGCTCTTGAGAGTCCCCTGGACTGCAAGGGGAACAAACCTATCCATTCTAAAGGAAATCAACCCTGAGTGCTCACTGGAAGGACTGATCCTGAAGCGGAGTCTCCAATCCTATGGCCATCTCATGAGAATAGAAGATTCCCTGGAAAAGACCCTGATGTTGGGAAAGAGTGAAGGCAAGAGGAGAAGGGAACGACAGAGGACGAGATAGCTGGACAGTGTCATCAAAGCAACCAACATGAATGTGATCAAATTCCAGGAGGCAGTGGAAGACAGGAGGGCCTGGCGTGCTCTGGTCCATGGGGTCATGAAGAGTCAGACACGACTAAATGACTAAACAACAACAATGAGTACACAATTCTAAAAGGATCAATGAATACATTACCGACAAACACAAGCAACACTAAAATACATCCAATGAAGGAAGGTACAACTATCCATTTCAAAAATCTCACTTGGCAACCATTCACTCAGGGAAAGCTTCCCTGAAGAGAAAGACCTTTGCAATAAAGATGGGGACAGTCTAGTCTCTTGTGGAAAGGAGTTCCAGAGGCTGGGAGCAGCAGCAGAGAAGGCTCTCTCTCATGTCCCCACTGAACACACCTGTGAAGGTGGTGAAACAGATAGGAGGGCCTCTCCTGATGGTTAGACATGGGGATGAATATAAAAATGAATCAGGATATTCGTTAAATATCCATGATTCATCAGATATTCGTTGCTTTGTATTCTTAGGATCCAGGGACCCCAACGAATACGAATCAACGAATATACCTTTTATATTCATCCCTTCCTTCCCTAACTGGTTATGCCTGAAGGGCATAGCAAGAGGATAATAATAATGTGATGTGACGAATGACAAATTGATTCATTGTTTGTTGGGTCACTGGGTGGCAATTCGTGGCCTGAGCTGGACCGGGCTGTGGAGACAGACCTCCCGCCCCCCCGCGCACTCACCCCTGCACAGCTGATTTGTGTGCTTGCACGCGCTCCATTACACCAGTGTGAGCGCTCTGCTGCCATTTGCACATGTGCAAAAGCGTGCACACCCATGTAAATGCTGCACCACCATTAGGGCATGTGCACAAGTGTGCGCGCCCATGTGATCGTTGCACCGCCAAACATCCAGAATCTGGATTACGTCAAACATTCAGCATCTGGATTACACCAAACAACCAGAATCTGGAAGTTGTCATCCACAAAAGCAACTTTTTCCATAGCTGAGATGTGATCTTCAGGCAGCAATCTAACAACCTTTATTGGCCTCCTTAAAAGGTCTGCAAATAAGGCCATAGAGTGCCAGATCTGCACCACAAACCGGCTTCAGTTTTCCATTTCCTTCATTTGTCCTGAACACCCTCAAATAGGAAGTGTCAATGGTATTGTTTAACCACGAGGTGGCACTGGAATTACTTGCATCTGGGTGGAACAGGCTGGAAACTGCTGTACAGTTCTCCAGAGAATACAGGTGCAAGGAGACAGCGAGAAAGGGATCTCACCTAGCTGCACCAGAAAGATTGGTTTTGCTGAGAGCGATCGCCCTTAAAGCGGTCTTTTGGGAAATCACCCCAAACTCAGCCCCCAGTAAGAATAGCCCTGCCACGGGACCAAAAAGGTCCAACTTGGACACAGATTGGGGGCAGGCTGGTGCACTAATGCCCATCATGTGACTGCCAAGAAATACGTGCTCTAGATGTGCCACATGGAGTCCAAAATGCAAACTGTTTCTCCGTTCCATCACATCCAAAATAATGTTCTTGTCTAGTTTTCTGTAGAGCTGGCTGGATAGCTCAGTAGTTTGAGTACCTGGCAGTGGAGCCAGAGGTTGGGAGTTCGGAGCTGGCTGGATAGCACAGTGGTTTGAGTACCTGGCAGTGGAGCCAGAGGTTGGGAGTTCGATTCCCCGACTGTACCTTCTGCAAGTAGAGCCAGCCTATGTGACTTTGGGCAAGCTGCATAGTCCCAGGGCATCCCCAGAAGAAGGGAAGGGTAAACCACTTCTGAGTACTCTCTACCTAGAAAACGGTCACTGTGAGTCAGAATTGACTTGCTGGCACATGATGATGATGATTAGCTTCCTGTGTAGGACTGCCTGGTACTGAAGGCTGGCGTCTCAGGGAATTTCACTGGGTCTCCAGGTCAGCAGACAACATTTAGGTGAGACGCATTGGAGGAGAAAGTAGTTTGATTCGTATAAGATATTAAAGCCTAGGCACCCATTCCTAGCTCATTCCAGGGCTCACGGGCTCAGCATAAAGGTGTTGTGTGTATGGTGTTCAAAAGGGCACAGTGATTGTGCCCTTTTCCCCTGCATTGGGCTTTCTGTCAAAATACTGGACCCACCCCTGCTGTTTGGAGCAAAGCAGGGAGGAGAGCACCAGCATGGGGACTCCTGAGCCTTCTTGTTGCCCCAGCCTTTCCAGCACTGGAACAGAGCCTCGGAACAAACTCCTTGCCTTCCCATTCTTGCCCACTCTGCTTCCACAGCATATCAAAGGCTGGTCCTGTAGTTTCAGGTGCAGGATCCAAAAAACCTCAGTGGAGAGGATGCTGCTGATTGAGCACCTCTGCTCCTGAATGGTCTGGCAGGTGGTTCTCAATCTTTGAGCTTCCAAACATTCTGGAATCCAGCTTCTAGCATCCTGGATCAACAATCATGCTGGCTTGGAATATGGGAATTAAAATCCACAAGATCTGAACCGCCAAAGATGAAAAACTCTTGCTCTATGCCAAACCTTCACCAATCTGGTGCGTTCCAGATATGTGAACTACAACTCCCGTCACTGGCCGGGGATGCTGGGATTTGTAGTCTGACATGCCTGGAGAGCCCCTGATTGAGGGCCAATGCTGCGAGATTCCTAAGACTTAAATTCTGACATTGAAATTTGAGTATTCTCTGTTGGCAATGTTTTTTCTCCTCTTTCTAGTCAGCTAGCAAGTTTCACTACAGATGATTACTCCAGTGTGCATATTCTTTACAGGTCATCTGCAGGTTTTATGCCTGCCTAGAAAAACTCACCTCTTTTGAAACTCCAACAGAGCAACATAAATGCTGCAAATGTGCGGGGTGAAAACAACAGGGCTGCCTAAAAGATAAGGCACTGCAAGGCAATTTAAATGCAAACATTAATTGTGTTCAAGGAAGCAATGATTAAAGGATGGGGAACAGCACTGGAAATAAGATGCAAGTGAAGAGGGGGATTTGGGGGTTCTTTCAATGGTGGGCAGTTTGGAAAGTTTCTACAGATTTCTGTTCCAAGGATGGTGATGATGATATTTGTCCTATCAAGTCGCTTCTGACTTATGGCAACCCTTTTCAGGATTTCCCCGGTAGAGAGTCCTCAGAAATGGTTTATCATTCCCCTTTCCTGGAGGCACCCTGGAATGGGGCAGCTTGCCCTAGGCTACACAGGTTGTTTCTTCTGGGATGTACAGAGGGGAATCCAACTCCCAGTCTCTGGATCCACTGCCAGATAACTAAACCAATAAGCTCTTCAGCCAAATTTCCATTGTGTCAATGAACTCCACCATAGGTTTAGTGACGGACAGGGTTTAAATGCATCAGCAGTAAAGGAAAGCTACCCTGTAACAGAGTTAAGAGGCTCTCTTGCAGAGGCCGGAAAAGGAACTTACTCAGAAGAAACGCCACTTGGAGAGACTGCTTGATGGGTTTCATGATGGGCTAACTCTCTGGGACGGTAGCCTCAAGGGCTCGGGGGAAGGGACGTTCCGTTGGCTTGTCTCCACGGAGTCCGTCATGCACAAGCCTGAAGGCGGGGAAGCTAGTGAAAACAACAATGTCGGAATTTAATTAAAGAGAAGCAAAGGCGATTGAGCACGCAGTGAGTTTAATTCCACAATATGTTGCAGCACAAGCAGCAATGGAAGGCAGACTTCCAAAAGATGATACATAAGTAAATAATCTTGAGTTGCCAACTTTTTGCTTGCCTCAGCTCCTATACCTTTAGCAGCAACTTGATCTGTAGACAGGACGAGAGCATGCTTATTTCCATGCCATAAAAACCTTCACTTTTGCAACTCCTAAGGCATAAGGGACAGATCTACTTAATTCCCCTTTCCTCCCACTCAACTGGCAAAACTGCACATAATGGCCAAAATCTTATTGTACAGTGTAGTAATTTGCACTAGGAAAGGAGCACTGAGTCAATGAGGTTTTAGTGAGTCCACTCCTTTGTATGTTTCTCTAATTCAAATGTGCTTACTTTAACTGTGACTTATGCTACAGAAAGGCTCACTTAGAGTAGGCCCATTTCAATCAATGGAACTTATGGGGGAATTGACTCCCCAAATCACCATTGATTGAACTACTCAAGTGTGGTTTACTATGCTAAGCAGCAGGATTTGGGCCATTTTATATAACGAGCTGTGGAACAGAAGGGAGATTCTCTGGATTGCACCAGTTGCCACAAAGATCTGCCTCTCAGAAAGAATTCCATGAAAATAAATGCTCACGGTGGCCTCATCCATGAATCAAAGGAGAATTCTGTGCTAGAACAAACCCTCGGCTTCCGCGCTAGCTTTCCTTTCTTCTGTATTCTTTTCTATTTTTGTTTCATGTCTATTTACCATGTGAGTCTTATCGTTCATTATCTGAATAGTACTCATACCTTTTAGAGGTTTTAAAGATATATAATAACAACAATAATAAGCAGCTTTGAATAGGGAAACCACTAAATCCTTTAAAGCTGGATTCTCTCTGCTGAACTACATATATGTCACATAGCAATATTCACTGCGTTCAGCTCAATAATCTTGGCAAGTACGAAATCCGTTGGAGGAAGGTCTCATGACCACCTGATTTTGAGCAGCAGATTTCAGTGGGATTGCTGGTTTCCACTTCAACTTTTGATTATCACTTCCTCAAGTCTTTGCATTTTACACCAGCTCTGGATTTGGGCTTGGCTCACTATTGCACTGCATCATAGCGTCTGTAGTTTTAAGGCAGGGTGACCTTCTCCTTACTCATCTGTGTTTTACTCACAAGAGGGCTCAACACACACAAAAAAGACCAAGATATTGCAATAATGCAGATAATCTGGTGCAAGACAAAAAGCACTGTAATACTAACGTAGATTTAGCTCAAAAAATGTTGAAATAGTTTGAGAATACCTTGTGTGCATCCATGTAAGCAGGGAGGGTCAATGGATGTGTTGAAAGCCGGATGAACCACATAGAGTCATCTGTGCTCTGCGGATTTCCAGGGTTTCACAAACCTTCTGAAACACAGTTTGGATTCAAACTTTGTTGTCTTTCTTCAGCCCAATGCGGTCTGTGCCTCCCCACCCCCTGTCTTAGCCCAAATTCTACAACACAGAGCATTGCTTTCGGTTGCCTTCTAGACAGTTGTACCTCTGCTCCAATATACTGTGCATTCTTAGCCAAGTTTGAAAATCTGGGGATAGGTTGAGAAAAGTCATCTAGCAACAGCCAGCCAGACTCTACTATTTCCATCCGACACGGTGGGTGTAAGAGCTGAACCTTTCAAAACCAGTACCGAAGTTTCTCTGCTTTTTTTCCTCCTCCCTCCCTGTCCAGTTTTCCTTTTCTGTCGTGTCTTTTCGACTTCAAGCCTCAAAGCAGAAACTGTTCTGTTCCTGATCTCTGTAAGGCATGTTCAGAACATGTTTGGCTAAAGAGTGGGTTAATCAAGCCTGAAATTAAAAAAATAAATGGGCAGAGCACAAACAAATCACAGCCACAAGATGTAGTGACAATGAGGTCTTCCTGACACATACACATGCTATGGTACAGAGCACTATTGATGCCCACGTCTGGCAGAATAGCCAACACAGCACCAGCCCAACACATGTATGACGTATCTGAAAGGTTGGGGAAATTCAAGGTCTATAGAAACATATACACAGAGAGAGATTTTCTGGGGGAAACCCAGGAGGGCCCACGGAATGAGGGCTGATGGTGGCACTGGGAATGAACAGCAATGTGTGTGAATGGCAGGGCGTGGATCGGTATGGAGTTTTGTGGCCGGCTAAGTCAGTGAGTTAGACAGTTTGGTCTCCCACTGCGCCTCCTGGGAGAAGCGCCAGCAGGCATGGATCGGTATGGAGTTTTGTGGCCAGCTAAGTCAGCGAGTTAGACAGAGTTTGGTCTCCCACTGCACCTCCTGGGAGAAGCGCCAGCCAGTGTAGCTTTGGGCAAGCTGTACAGTCCCAGGGTGACCCGAGAAGGAGGGAATAGGAAATGCTTCTTCATACTCTATACTAGCGGTCCCCAACTCTTTTAGCCCCGCGGACCGGCTGGGAAAGGCGGGGCACCCCGCTGCGCTCGTGTGCAGGCGCAACGGCATATGTGCACACTTGTGCGCATGTACAAAGGGTGGTGTGGCGCTCATGCAGGCGCAAACAGGCTGTGGAGGGAGTGTGTGCAGGGTGGGGGGGAGGTCTCTCTCCGCAGCCCAGTCGCGCTCAGGCCACGGACCGGCACTGGGCCACAGACCAGGGGTTGTGGACTTCTGCTCTATGCTGATAAAAACCTGCAAAAGGTCACCAGGAGTCAGAATAGATTTGAGGGGATGTGGTAATAATGTTCATCACATACAAGACCAAGATCAGCCACACACTTGTGTGTACAGTATATCTGATCACCATGCATGGGTGTGAAAGTTGGACTGTTAAGAAAGTTGTCAGGAAAATATAGCAGGAAAAGAGGAAGAACATATACGAGATGGACCGACTCCCTATAGGAAGCCACAGGCTTGAGCCTGAGGGAGCTAAGCAGGGCTGTTGAGGACAAGACTTTTTGGAAAGCCTTCGTTCACAGCGTTGCCATACGTTGGAGGGGACTTGGGAGTACAAAACAGTGATGATGATGATGATGATGATTGATGATGATGATGATGATGATGATGATGATGATGATGATGATGATAGGGGCTAAGTGGAAAGGCGTACTTGAACGCTCCTCTACACTGTACCAATGTGTCACATGTCTCTCCCAGTTACTAGTCTTTCAAAACTCTCTCTAGAACGCCAGGATGTGAAACCAAACATTTGATTTCTTTCCTGATTCAGCAAGACCCTCTCTTTTGTTTTCTTAAGAAATCAGCATTTCTTCCACATATTGATTGGCAAATGCTTCCCTTTTCCCCCACACAACTGTTTCAAGCTTTTGCAATCTGCCTGGAGATTTGGAAGAAAGAAAGCTGCCATTTTTTGGCGTGTTTTTTTAAAATTATTATTATTATTATTATTATTATTATTATTATTATTATTATTATTATTATTATTATTATTATTATTATTATTATTATTATTATTATTATT